TGTAGTATCTTTTCAGATTGAAGTATATTAAATTAAATTTAAAAATAATAGCATAGCATCTGTTATACTTAAATGCATAAAAAATTTTATATATTCATACATTTATTATTTATTCTAAACTAAAATAATCAAGTTTAATTACAGTTTAAATCTGTTTGTCAGCTGACTATCAATATATCATGATAAAAGAATTCTGATAAATAATATGAAAACATATTTATTTACTTTCAAGCTGTATTAAATAAATAAGCCTTTTTTATTTAAAAGTCAGAATAATTAGATTAACAGATCAGTACAAATATAGCAATCAACTAATTTAGGTGTTCTTGGAGCGAGGATCGTGGAATTCTGCATGTTCAAATGCTGTGCTAAAAGAGATATAGCAATCAATTGTTCAATTAACTATTAATTTAATATATCAGTAATCAACTGAGATCCCCCTGAAAGCTGTCTGACTTGAGCAACAATGAGTAAGAATGGTGTTGTCAAGGGCTACAGAAACAGCATCACAATGTCAAGCTAGACTTGAAGCTCTTCTCAATTCTTCAATCTCTATTTACTCAAAAAAAAAAAAAAAAAAATATTCTTTTATGCTTGATGGGAGAATTTCTGGTATTTTGACACTGGATATAGATAGAAAAATCTTTTTGAAGATTTTCATATCCATAATCAATTGAATGCTAAGTTTTTAATTTTGTTTATTTGTTTGAAAATTTTTCAAGATGCAAAATTTTTTGAACTAACTTTTTATGTATGATTTATAATCAATATAGTAGAATTTTAAGTAAATGGCTTATTTTTCATCTAAAAAAAACTTGAGAGATATATTATTTAGAATCTCTAACATTAATGAATTTTGAAATAAAGTAATGAGTAAAACCATGATAATTTGTAANGCTCAAAAACAATTGAATAGTTGAATCTGAACAAACAAGGAAAAGTAACAAATGACCACCTAAGTTTTAAATATTTCCTTTTTAAGTTAATATGAAATTAAACCTACATGTAATAGTCAAAAATCCTCATCCTAAGCATTTTCAAGTATAAAAAGAAACCAAGTTATTGAATTTTCATGCTTCAGTACAAATATGTTTGTAAGAGTAGTGTAGTTGATAAGTTTCTGTTTATGAGACCTTATTCCATGACTGTTCTGGGTTCAATACTCAAGATTTTTATTTTTTATGATTTTTCCATCATCAAATTACTTATTTTTGCATTTTTATTAATTTACTTCTTAAATACGTATATTAGTAAATACATATTTCTATATCTGCAACAGGATTTATTAAGTTATAAACAATTATCCTTCATTTTCACAGGAATCTGAATTTGTCCAAAGACACAGCACTAGCTAACAACAATGACTTAGAAGTTGTAGAACAAACTGTTTATGATTAATTCATGCTCAAGGAGTAGGTTTATATCTGATTTATAACAGGCCTGCAGATATAGACCCACTGTAATAAACAATTGAATTGAATTGAATTGAATATATCTGATTTATATTTACAAATCAGTGTAAGTTTTTACACAGCTGTGACATCTACAACTCTTAACTAAATAGAATGTTTTCCATTCCCTTTAATTTATAGTTTCTGTTTATTTATGCTAATGGAAATTTCAAAAAAATATAATTCTTTATTCTTTGTTCTTTAAATATTACAATATCATATCATTAACACAATGAAGCCTCACCCCTTTAACAATTAAACAAAATTCATTAGTATAATAAAAGTATACAACAAGTCAAATGAAAAGACAAAATAGAGAATCAATACAATAAATATGCATTAATAAATTTTTCATTTAAAAAAAATTAAGGTTCAAAAATTAAAATCTTGATTTTTTGAAACAACAAGAGCAATTCTGAAGACAAGAGGATTGTTTCTTGAAAGTGCTTAATTTGTTGAATCCTTGGCTCCTGTAACCAAGGTTATTAAAAGAGAATAATATATAATTTTTAATAAAAAACCTATGATGCACTTCTTTATCATATGAACAGTGCTGTAAATATAAATAACTATAAAAGATAAAAATAGATTAGTTTGTTCTAAGGAAATTGCTTAAAATACAGCTACAATGTAAAACTTTGAAAATTAACATTTTTAATCATTTAGTGTTCAGCAATTTAGAAATTTTTTTAAAGAAGAAATTTAATTGCATTTTAATAACACTGATTTTACATTATTGTTGTCTGAGTAAACAATTTATTGAACTATCTTAAAACTGCTGATATATTTATATATGTATTCATTAAGAAAAATGTTTCTATTTAATTCAACTTCATCAAAATTTATTTTATAAACTAATTTAGTATTAATAAAATTAAATTAATGATTCTTTTAAAATAAATAAAGTTTTCCAATCATTAATGCTTTCACAATAAGTAGAACAAACAAAACAATAATTTGATAATGTTTACAAACTCAAATCATTTTATTAATAAAAAAAATTAGTAAAAAAAAGTTAATTTTACATGGCTAAACATTAATCTGTAAATTATGATATCATAGAAGAAATACAATAAAGTATAACAATAAAGTAAATAATGTATAAGATAAAAACTTTAATGTTTTAAACATACCTGAGAAGACTGAAAATGTGAAGGTGGTGTATTTTCTAAATTCAAATGATTTCCTGTCACAGGATCTAGGCTTTCATCTAGAAAAATAAAATATGTATTTAACAAAACAGGTACAATTATAAATTTATCATATCAATAAGGTATTTAAAAAACAAACACAAATTTTTAAAAATTTTTTAATCAGTAAACTGACAAAAGTTAAAACTGATTTGCTTTATATATTAAAGAAATGCATTAAGTATACTTAAAGTAACATAATTATAGTTTAAAAATTATTCTAAGTTGTAAACATATTTTGTTCACAAATTTTTAAAAATTTTATAATCAGTAAACTGACAAAAGTTAAAACTGATTTGCTTTATATATTAAAGAAATGCATTAAGTATACTTAAAGTATTTGCAAATGGTTACTTTTAAGGATAAAAACAAATATGATCATTTAAATTGATCCTTTGTAATTTTTAAACTATAGAATGCCAATTACAGTTTAAAAACTGATTTACTCATCTACAGTTAATAAATTGAAATAAAAGGAAAATGATGGAAGACTAAATTAATTCCTGATTATATTTTGTTTGGATCATCTAGATGAGCAAACAATTTTAAATAGATACTCGGAAATTATTTTTGTTATAAAAAAAGTCTACTATAAGAAATTTATTACAAACAATATTGATATATTACGACTTAGAAAAATATAAATTAAATAGTTTCAGTGAAAAAATAAAGATCTTTATTCAGATTTAATTAGTTGCATAGAAAAAGTTGTTTTTTTATACTCTACTATTAAAACTGTATCATACAAATTTTCACAAATGTATCTTTATTTTATCAATTTTTTTTATGATATTAGAATGACTGTATAAACAGGAATTTATCATTGTCATTTAATTAAATCTAAAAAACAAAAATCATCATCTAATATTCAAAATTTATAGCAATAATAAAATTATTAAGACGGTTTAGTCAAACGTTAAACTTTTAAAGAATTAAAAGAGCTTAAAGCATCATCATTATTTTAGAACAGAACAAATCAGAAATTTTTCAAATTAAATTTATACCAATATCACACATGTTTTTAAAATATTTAATGATGAATCATTTCTTAAAACTCAAATTATCTTAAATTATGTGATAATGATGTAAAAATTCAGTTCACAACATTCAATAGTTATTATTATTATTATTAGTTTTCATCTGAGTACATAAAAATTTACATTGATATGTCTTATCTTTTTTTTCAAGTAATAAATGTAATGGATATTTTCCAACATTATATTTGTCATAATTACCATGTTATAGTATAGTAACTTGAACCCAAAATTATAGTTTTTTTTTTTATATTTTAAAATAATGCTATTTTATACTTTTAGCAAAGGCTTTAAAATGTTCTGACTCTTAATAAATTTAAATATAAACAATTTTTATATCAATAAAAATAATTATTGATAAATACCATATGCTAAACTCCACCATACCTTTAAAATGCAGTCTATTTTAAACAGTTATCGAACATTTTCGGTCAAATTAACAGACCTTCTTCAGGATCGACGTAAAGAATTTAAACTTGCCAAACGGTAATTCTAAAAACGCACGTTCTACAATCTTCCGAGATTTGATTGCGCATGTCCATTTGTTCTTTAATGTGTCATGAATACTTGGCATTATAAAGAACAAATGGACATGCGCAATCGAATCTCGGAAGATTGTAGAACGTGCGTTTTTAGAATTACCGTTTGGCAAGTTTAAATTCTTTACGTCGATCCTGAAGAAGGTCTGTTAATTTGACCGAAATCGTTCGATAACTGTTTAAAATAGATTGCATTTTAAAGGTATGGTGGAGTTTATTAATTAATAATGCAGTTAGAGATATACCATATGCTTTGTTAATTTTTCTGTGTTTTAAATCACTAATATAATAACAAAAGTTAATGTAAAAATATATATTAAAAAAATCTTTTAATGATAAAAAAAATATATATAAAGATTATAGTGATTATTATTCTAAAAAATTAATCAGATTTAAAATCAATCAATAACAATAACAAAAAAAAATAATATATAAACTTAAAAAAATATTGTGCCTAATCTCTATTTTCATAGTATATTATATTAATAATTTAAATTTTGTAACAAGTTAATAAATTAAAATAAGTACTTTAAAATACTGTTACTTTTAGATTACTTCTGAATTTTTCAAAAATCAATAATAAACTGCTGTTATTTGTAATGTACAAATCAATAATCTGTAATAAAATTAAATGGTCCCTCAGATTACTATAAATTCTATATTTGATTTTAACAATTTTTAATTGATCTATAAAATGTATGTATAAAAATGATTTGTTCATCAATTTCTTTATACACTTAACAACAGGAATCAGAATATATTTTATATTTTTCACATTTTTTTTTATAAACTGTTATTTATATTAATGTGTCATGGATACTTGTAAATTTGTGCTATTAACAGACAAATATTGTTTTGTTGTTTGAAATCCCATCATTCTTTGCAAAGCATCCTGTGTACCAATAACAGAACTGAAAATAATAATAATATTTTTTATTTGAAAAGATTAAACTAAGTATTATATTAATTAATTTACTTACCCAGCCAAGCCAAATAATATTAACCAACAATCAAAAACACATTCCCACTTTGTAATTGTGCTATAAATAAATAAATATATATGGTATCATCTTTTTAATTATGCATTAATTATAATATATGAGAAAAACTTTAATGCAAACCTTCTGAAAGTGAAAAAATGAAATAATCCAGGTAATATAAAAGCTAATAATGTGCAACATGTTGCTCCAATAAAAGCCATAAGATTTGCAAAATTTGGAACAAGAATTACAATTAAACCAGTTAATGACACCAAAAGCAGACGTAACAGATTCTAGAAAAAAGTAAATTGTCTGTAAATATATTATTATAACAAGTGTTGAAATATTAATAAATGCTATAATTATATTTATTTTAAGAAATTATTTTAGTACTAATTTTTAAAAGTTATTAAATAATAATAGTTTTCAGAAAAATTCATTATCTAAACTTAAAAGCTACAAATAATTGGTAATATATAATTCAGCAGTTTGCTTTTCATTTAAAATAGAATTAAAATATATAAAAAATTTTTCTTGACTGATAGGTATAATGACAATAACTTCTAATGCACATTTTGTTTGCACTTTTCTTGTCTCCAAAACCAGAGTGCACATTAGAATTGGACACAAAGACAACTTAATGCAGCTTTGTTTGCATCATTTACTCCTTATTCCACTCAGTAATTTGTGTATATTAAGTATAGATGTGGTATACATTCCTCCCACTACTTTAGTTTTAATTTTGACTTTGGAACTTAATATAATTACAGAAAGACCCTGCTTAATGCAGGGGATACATTCCTAGATGACAAAGCGCTAAATGAAACAGCGTTAAATGAGGTCATTTTAACAGAGTAAATAGGGAAAGGGGAACACACGACCAAAAATAAACAGATTTTACTGTAATTTTGAGTTATTTTTATATTAATTTGCATAATAATGTATGTTAAATAACACAAACATATGCACACAAAAATGTAAAGTTCATTTTTGTGATGAAGGTCCTGGCTTTTCTGAAATTCTTGTTTTTTGCAATAAAGTCATGTAGTTTCATTTGTCGCTTTTTTTCTTTCCTTAAGCAAATGTTGGTAGCAGAAGTTTGCATCCAAAACACCTTGTCTTGCTTTTGCCTCCTTTCAAAATCTAGATCACTCGCTACAATTTGATCAATGATTTCAGTTATTACCAAACTTTATCAGTAGCAAGTTCTTTGGGTTCTTCGTTTTCAGAATCACTATTTTCCAGTTCTTAAAGGTCATCGTTGGTAAGGCTCTCACCAGAAACTTGCAGTAACTCCTCAATATACTGCTCATTTACATCTCCTAGTCCTGTTGTATCGATTAGGTTGACAATTTGGTCAATCTAACAATATAGCAATAGGCGCTTCTCATTGAGAATTCTTGGATACCTTCAGCCATAATTTCTTCCACACTCCGTTCATGCATTTATCACTTAATTCTTGCCAAGCGAAGTTGATATTTCCTATGACATCCACGATGTTATATTTTTTCCAAAATTGAACAAAACAAATGTAGATTTAAGGGAAGTACAGCTCTATGACGAATTGCCAGCTTTTGCTGATTGGTTCATGTTCAGGAATAATTGTATTATATAGGAATTAATCAATTAAACGATGCGATAATTTCAATCAGCATAAATTTTGAGCTTATTTCAAGGCTTTGAGCAGACCATGTTATATTGAATTAGCATTAAGTGGGGTCTTACCATACTTTAAATAATATAATGATATGGTGGTCTTTTGAACTACAGCAGGCTGAGTGAATGATGCCCAACATATGGGTTTCCAAAAGGAACATATGTAATATTGTGTGAGAGACAAAGGGACCCTCAAGAAAGTGTTATCTTGACCTTTGGTCATTTTACAATTTCGTCATTTGACTTCAATTTTTTTTTTCAAGAGCTATCATAAAAATTGTTTCCCATGGACTTGTTTCCTTGTTGAGGATGATCCATCCAGTCATTAACGTGCCACCCGAAACTTTCGATAAATTTCCAGTATTGGACACCAGGCTCTTAACAACAGACTCCTGACCTCATGGAAAAAAACTCAGAAGGAACCCAAATAACAAGGGAGAACGATGACAAATCCAGTCAGTTGTCCTCCAAAGTTCGTCTCCCCAAGAGTTATAACGTACAAAATACTGTGCCTCCACCGACCTTATTATAAGGATACCTTAAGTTGCTCCTGTTACCTGAGCACTCTAAATATCAAGAACATTTCATCAAACACCCAAGAATTCCGATGGTGAATCATCCAGTCATCAATCCTCGACTTTTTTTTATAAGGTATTTATCCACACGCGAATATCCTGTAAACTCTCTCTCTCGCGACAGTTAGATTCGATAATCTAGGGATATAGGCCATATATCATCCAAGATGTCTATGATCGTATATCATGTACTCCTGCTCATTAAAATAAATTTGTTATTGTTTATTAATCTGGAATCCGTGCGAATCACTTCCTCATTTCTCTCTCCTCACCTCTACTCCAAATCCAACTGCTTACCTGCTACCGCTCGCATGACATAAAGTCACAATTTCCGAGTCCTGAGAGACTCAGTGGTGTCACATCCTGACATGGTGTCAAAGAAACACCAACCTTATGGGCACAATTGTATTAAAATATCTGTATATAGCTGAAAAATTTCATGCTGGTGCATACTGTGAAATCTCTTTAAACAATGATTGTTGGTAACTTTGACTATGATTTTGTGTTCATTGTCAAATCTTCTGTATTTGATACATACATACAAGAAAGACATCGCCCACAGTGGTGTAGTGTAGGTGTCAGCCACCCGAAGCGGAGGAAAATTTTGCCCCCTTATTTAGATATCTCAATTTAAAAGACTAAAATTCAGTTTCGTCACAGAATAAGTAATGAAAAATTCCATGCTAGTGTTGCGACCTTATTAAAATCGCTGACCCGGACGGCAAGTGAGGTTTGTTCGAATAGAAGTTCCTGATGCATGCGTATGTCATTTTGCAATGCGAAGAATAATGTGCTGTGCATGCTGGTTCTAAACCAGTTACAGTTAGCAACTAGGAGACTTGGATAGGAGTAACGCAAGTGACCTAGCTGTATTGGATATTGGAGGTGTATATACATATATGAATAAATCGTACAAGCAAAATAAAAAAAAAAAAAAAAAAAGTCAACAGGTTGCACACGATATCCCTGGACAGCAAGTCGATTCCCAGACTATCCGGATGGATGGTAACACTATTCCGTGCTCATTTCAATCAGTCCAAGTCGCAGATGGACGAAAATATGAAATAAAATGGTTCAAATTCTTACAAGATATTATTATTATTTATTGTGAAATTTTGCCGTCCCCTAAAAAGTGCCACCTGGGGCGGACCGCCCCTGCTGCCCCCACTACGCTACACTACTGATCGCCCATACATGAAATGTTTAGCTGGCAGAAAAGAGGGTAAGGGAAAGGGGGGAAGAAGGAGGGAATGGAGATAGATGGTACTATAGCCTTATGTATGCTGTTCAGAGGGATCCTACCTTTCTCTATTGTCTATGTTTGATGTTGGAATGCAGTTTTTAGGTTGCAAAGCCTTAGTCCTCCAAAAGGTCTAAAAGAAAACACGAGTGTAGCAAACAATAGTTGAGTGCTGCCACAAATAGCTAAGTGTAGAAGTTAGTGCCAAGTGGCTGTTAGTAGGAAGACATATCTACTTAATACTAATAAAACTGAACCCGAGCACGAATCTCAATACTATTAACAGCTAGACAAACAGTGTGAAAACAAATGAACACAACAACAAACTAGACAAGACAAACAGACTGACAGACAAATGAGCAAAATCCCAAAAATTTATTATTATTATTTTAATGTATTTATTTAATTTACTCACTAACTAAACTAACCTATCATAACCTAGGATGAACATAATCAGACAACTAAAGCTAATAACACTAATCTAATTTAATCTAACCTATCATAACCTAACCGGAAATCAAACTAAGAGTCCCTAATCTAACTTACAACTAGAACTAATCGAATTTAGACTGAAAAAAGAAGACAGAAAATAAGAATTAAAATACAAAGTTGAAAGGTATCTATATACCTGTTACGGAAAGATCTGGCAACACAGAGAGAGAGCGGCACGTGCAAGATGGACGGCCCTGTTTAATGTATGCGACTGTAGAACGTCCGGTCCAAGTATAACCCTGAATAAAGTATTCAGAGTAAGTGTTTGTATTCCTGTCTTACTGGGGGTCTTAAGTGCGTCACAAACGGCGTGTAAACACAAAGAAAACCATATAAAACATGGTGGCAGGGGTGGGATAATCAAGCCAGTAAAGGAAACGAGGCTTAACGAACACGCGCCAGCTTAACAAGTAATTAGAAACTTCGTTTAAAGGTTGACGCTGCGGCAGACAGACAGTCTCCTTTATATAGTAATATAACGATTACTTTAAAGTAATAGAAAAAAAAAAAAAAAAAACGGAAAGCGAGATGAATAGTTTAACTCCTCC